TTTTCTGGTACCTTAGATCTGGAGCAGCAACTATTGATCCTCCAGATGTTTTGGCTTGCAACTTCCACCAGCCCTAGCCACCATAGCTAATAGCAAGGGAAGACAGGAAGTGCAGGCCAAAACATCTCAAAGGCCATATGATGCCCATGCTAGCACAAGAGTGCATCAGAAAAATACTTGGTTTATTTTATATTTTTACCAGCATTTAATAAACAGCAAAGCTAAAAGAGGACCCCATGTTATTATTTTTATTTCAGTACACTGCAAGTATGTAAACTGAAATATTTGAAAAAAGTTTAAAAGCACTTCCAATGCGATCCAATGAGGCTGCTTTGTAACAGTCCAAACTCAGAGGATTTAAAGGCATGCTGTGGAGGGAAGATGGCCTACAGACATGGGTTTCTAAATGTTTTGTCTCAGAAGACAGTGTGGTGAGACAGTGTGGTGTAATGGTTAAGAGCATGGGACTGGGACTCAGACGATCTGAGTGCTAGTCCCCGCTCAGCCTTGGAGCCAACTGGGTGACTCTGGGCCAGCCACAGACTCTCAGCCCAACCTACCTCACAGGGTTGTTGTGGGGATAAGATGGAGGAGGAGAATGATGTAAGCTGCCTTGAGCCCTTTATAGGAAAAAGGCAGGATAGAAATTGAAAAATAAATAAAACACAAGGAGTGGAGGTTTAATCACCACAGGGATAGCACATATGCTGGCAGTGCCTATCTTCTACCCGCCCACAAAATCCCATCTCCAAGGTCACTCCTATGACCTCACAGTTAGAGTTGGCACAGTTTGCTCTGCATGAGCTGTGAAGGCAGCAAGAGGAAGTTTCCAAGGTTGGAAATGGGATCCCGAATAATCCCACTGGCACCTAGACAGTCTAGTGGCCATAGGTTTGTACCTTTGATGTGATTTAAATGTTTTATTGTGCAAAATGTGTTACTGTAATACTAAATCACCTGAAAAAACATTAATTACACCTTTAGAATGGCAAAGCTTGTCTCATATTGTATTTGCAATTGGCATCCATTTGTTGTTACTAATGAGTTTTATGAAATGGAATTTTTTTGCCTGGAAAATAAAGTACCATGAAAAATTCAGTGCTGTGGTATAATACAAAACCATGAATTGCAGTGTCCCACATCACTGCTCCCTGCAGCAATTTCTCTGTCCCATGTTAAACCAGGTTAAAGATTAGATGAGGTACTAACCTTAGTCAAAATTACCATAAGCCTGGGTATGCGATTAACTAGTGTTCTGAAACCAGGTTCAGAAACTTCTGTAGTTTGAACCACAGTTTAAGATAGTATTGCTTGAAATTCATCAAATCCTGCTTCAGATAGGGCAGATACAAGAAGGTTTAACTTAGATTTTTCTAAACTGGACTTCTCTTCACTGTGGCTAAAATAATAGGAGGAAGTACTTGATGAAGTAAGGGAATTGCTATTGATTTTCAAGTTATTAAGTGTAAAACATGTATTATACTCAACAGCCATTGATAAACATTTTAGAGATTCAACAAGGAAACCTTTGGTGACCAAGTGTGAAGATATATATATTTCAACTTGTACAGCAGTGCCCTTAAGCCGGAGTTCCAGAGCCCTAAAATGACAAGAAACCACAGCTTATAACTCTGTCTTGCTTCAAAAAAGACAAACCAGAGTCCCTACTTCTGGCATCACAATAAACTATAGATGGAAGGTTCCTTGTTTGTTTAGTCACTCCCTCTAACAGGAGTCAAAAGGAGTGATTAGATAACATGCAGCAGCATACTTGCTCATTTGCAATAAACATGGGTTCCCCTGGAATCCTGAAGGTGTAGCATGCAAACTGGCCCATTAATTTGTGATCACAGAAGGCAAACTGATAGGAGTTAGAATATGAGCCCCATATATTATCTACCCTACATCATATCCTATAATGGGCCAATACTAGAAATGATGTAACGCCATTAAGGGATTTACCATGCACTTTTTTAAGAGCAGTGGCAAAGGGGCAAGCAGCAGATGGGAATCAAAAGTGTCCATGTTTTCTGCATGTATGTAGTTAGTTTCTTCTTACTCGTACACTGAGCTATTTAATAAAGTTTTTGGACTTTGTTCTCTACAGCAGCAAGTGTAGGTGTGCACACAGTGAAATCACCATTAACTTTTCTGAAACTGCAGGAAAAGTTTACATTAGAATACCAAGGCAGTTAAGCACTTTCTACATCCGCCACAAATGCTTAAGAATTTTAAACAAATGATAGTATTGAAAAACATATACCCTATGAACTTGTTTTGATGTAATAAAAATGTGAACAAACAATCAAGCAACCAAACCTACAGGCAAAAAAACAACTTATAGACTCACTGGAATTCTGTTGACAACTTTGTTCAAGAGCAGCCAGTTCACACAAACAATATAGTTAGTAAACTTCAAGGGGCTGTGAGCAGACTGGGGTGAGTGACCACATTGCCTCTTGTCCACTCCTGCTTTGCTAAGCAACTCAGGAACTATTTCTAAGTTATCTAAGGTTAATCAATCCAGAATTGCAATGCACAATTCCAAGCTCACATTTCACAGCAACAAGATTCAGGGTTGTTTCAATCCAGAAGTAGGGCACTTGCTCACTCCAGTGTGGCCAAAGCTAGCTTTGGGTTAATTAACCTGTAGCTGGGTTAATTAACTCCAGTATTTAAATACACTTGATTCATCTTTATTGGGAGAAAATTTCTTCTGAGGTAGGAATATGCATGTTTGCAAGTTATACTCATAATACTACACATAAAGATATTATGGCCAACCTAAAACCAAGAGACTCCTCCTACATGAACAGGAAAAGGTTCAATGAAAGAGTAATATACAAGAGGTCTTCAAAAAATGTCCATACTTTTAAAAACTCTATTAAGAATTTTAAAAACAAATTACATCACTTTTCTACAGTCACTTTCTTTTGCAATGCATTTTCCCAACACCATACCAACTTTTTCATATATATATATAATATATTTATAAAATATAAAAGTGCAGAAACTTTACGAAGACCCTAGTATAATTGATATAGATTCAGTTTAGACAACTGAACTGCTGTCAATTAACAGGAAACTTGGCCAAAAAGCAAACACAAAAATCAACAAATTAATACTTTCCTTATTAACTTGTTATTTCTAAGGAAACAGCACCAAGGCTACTGTTTACTACTATCAGTGTTCATTTATAGTATAACAAACACCTTCTGGGTCATAGTGAGATTGTTAAGGCTCAAGTAATTCCTGCACAGAAAGAAATACTAGGCTATTACAGAGAATTTGGCAGGAGGGGGAACATATACCATAACTGTGTTCAGGCTACTCTCACTGTTCAAAGACTACCAGCGTACCTTACATCAAGCAGAATGAGGAAGTCTAGACATAGATATGGAAAGTGCACAAATGCTGTCATTCATTAAAAAAGACGGTGATACTGAGCGCCTGAACATGCACACCAAGAGCAGAGATGGGAAAACAAGGCTGTGCTGTGCTCTTTGGGGATTTCTACATGTGCACTGTGGCCAGGATCCAGTGAGTAGTATAGCTGAAGAATTTTTGATTTTGGACTTAACCATCCCACTGGGCAGGAGGAATGGAAGGCTCTTGAGATGGCAATGTGTGCTGATGTTGTTACGTGCTACCAAGTTATCGCCAACTTATGGCAACCCTATGAATGAATGTGCTCCAAAATGTCCTGTCCTTGACAATCCTGCTCAGCATTGGAGATTCAAGTCTGTGGCTTCCTTTATGGAATCAATCAATCTCATAATTGATCTTTCTCCTCTTCTTCTGCCTTCAACTTTCCTTAGCCTTATTGTCTTTTCCACTGAGTGCTGTCTTTTTTCTTAATGTGGTAAGCCAGTTCTGCTATGGTTAGGAGGACTTCTATCTGTTCTGCTGCATGGGGTCCTGGTTTTTTTTCTCCAAATCCTGGCCTGACTACACCACTGGACCAAGCCCTATTCATTCTAGATTAGGAAAGGGAGTGGCATTTTTTAAAATACTTGCTTCTGCTTATTGCTGTCATGATGTGATAATATATGGCAGCATATTTTTACACATATAAACAATTGTGCTGGCATTTTGTTGATGTAGGAATGCCATGCTGTGCTAGACAGTTGCAGTTGAAACATGAGTGCAAAAAGTAGGAAAGGTCACAGAATAAATGTTCCAAATTAACACAGTAGCCTGATCGTTGCCCCTCCACCTGCAAGATTTCCTCTAGCATCCAATATCTTATAACGACTTCATTCTCCTTTCTAAAGGCATATCAAAGGAATATAAGGCCATACAAGAAAAATCACAGTATGATCCTATATACGTCTACTCAAATGTGAGTCCTATTGACATTAGTGGAACCTATTCTCAAGTGTGTCTGGGACTACAGCCTTAGTCCCTACATGCATGTTTCAGTCTTAATATTGCTCAATGGCAGAAAATAGGGTCTGCAAAGGAAGTATGTTAAGAATTATGGTAGATCCAATATCACCATATCTGCATGTGTTCATTTCAAAGGTTAGCAACTCTAATCAACACTTCGACATTTCTATTAACTGGGAAACAAAATCTTTTTCTTTAAGTTGGGATGAACAGAACACTTGATCACTCACTGCTTTGGCATGGGGAAAGGGAGCATTGCAGTGTAATCCCACGTGCAAAAACCAGGTAGCAGGTCAGGGGAAAAAATTCCAACTGAGAACCTAGACTGCAGGTGACTCTCAGAGCAGCCCATACTGGGAGCTTCCTATGAGTGTGTTTGCCCGCCTGCCAAGCTACCTTTGCACAGACTACTTATGTCCACAATGGCACCCTAAAGGAGAGCATTCACTGCTGAAGTGTAAATAGAGTCTATGAGTAAATTGAACTCTAAAGAAACAACTTGAAAAAGCAGAAAACATATGAGGGCAAAATAAAGGCAGTGCTATTTATTACACGTATACCCCCACTTTCTTGATTGCGGAAGTCAGTTGGTCTCCCCTCTAAGCACTGACCTGATTTAGTCCTGCTAGCAAGGTTCCTCCAGTCCATTTCACCAGCTCCTTTTAGTATCAACACAGTTTGGAAACATTGGTAATTTGGTGTGGCACAATGGCTATCAGACATGGAGAACTAGTGTAGGTGGGTCCGTGACTCGGGTCTCTGGTCCAGCCATCTGCTTGTGCTATCAACTTCCTAAGCATGCCACTTTCGGCAGCAAGTGACTAAAAAGTATGCTGTGCAGAGAGGATGACCTAAAGCCACCAGAAACGCTGTCCTCTAGGCCAGACTGGCATGTGCTTGTTCCCAGTACCTCCTCCGCGCGCTTAACTTTAATTCGCACATGCTTTAACTCTGATAACTCCCGTGATCGACGAGGAAGATGAACAACTATCTTTACTTTGCCTGTTCACAGTTTCTCTTTGAATCTGGGAATCTTCCTGGAAAGACAAGAGCACCCCAAAACACTACCTCGGTAGTCCCAATCTTACTAATATCTTGCAACTTAAAAAGGGGAAAAGGAGAAGTCATGCACGAGGGGAGAAGCGGCTACTCCCGCCTCTGCAACGCGAAGCTCCGCATCATCTTGACTCGGGCACGCAAAGAGCAGGGGGTGGCGAGCGCCCCTACCTGCAGAGCCGAGGGAAGGCTCCATCCACAGTTTCCCCGCTCTCAAAAGAGCAAAACGCGACAGCCGCGCTCAGTTCCGCAGAAGCGGCTGCGACACAAGCACACCGCCCCAAGCCCGGAAACGCTCGGCGCACGCGTGCACGGGCCCCCGACAGGCTCCAGCGCGCGACCTAGACGTCAAGGACTCGCGCCCAGCCCTGGGACGCATGCGTCGAAGAGAGCACGGTGCAGGTACCAGCTTACAAGCCCGGGCGAACCTAAGTCATGTAGCGGCGCATGCGCCGCCTCTCCGTGAAGAGGTGGGAGGTTCCAAGAGCTGCGGACTGCTGTCTGGCCGTTCCGGACCGTTCCATGCTGGCTCCGAGGGGGGAAGTAGGAAGTTTCAGGGAATTAAGCATAGGGGATGTTTAATTTGGGATATGTCCCTCGGCGCCCCCTCGAGTTGAATGATAGGGTGGTAGGGTCTGAGCCAAAAAAGGCTTGCAGGACCCACTGTTGAAGGTGGGCGCTGGTCTTATTTAATGTTCCTAAGCGTGTTTGTAGCACTGCGTTTCCCTGAATAGCCTCAGGAGCTTTTGCAGGAGATCTGCCCGTTCTTAATTGCATATGATAGGGAAAGGATGAGACTGACCACTGCGGTACTCCCTGACTAGGCGAGTTAGAGGAGGCGTAGATGACTTGGTGTGCTCCAGATGTTTCAGAGTGCAACTCCCATAAGCCCCAGCCAGCAGGGTCAATGGTGAGGAATCCTGGGGATATCCTTTAAGGCAGCAGGGGATCACGTTGCCTAATCCTTAGTGAGGGCTTATTTCTTACAGTGGTATCCTGTCTTCACCTTTCAAAGAGGCTTACATAATTCTCCTCCTCTCAGTCTTATGATAAAACATTTCTGATTCCCTGTGCTTGAACTCTCTGTAATCTTGCTGAGGGCTCAACTGGAAGAGCTCCTGTCTGTCATAACATTTGAAATTCACAATTTTTGTGTTTGAATATAATGCTAGCGTAACAAGAGCATCTGCTGAAACAGCATTCTTGGCTATGATAATGCTGTAATAGCATGAGAAGCACTGGACACTCAGAAGTTAATTGCTGGCATCTAACTTTCCATTTAACTGTCTACTGTTGAAATGATAAGTGTGAAATGTGGCCAACTTTCTCTAGTTCACAGTGTGCAGAAGGCGGGATCAGTGAGTGATGAGTTTGCTCTTAAATGTATAAAAATGTTTCTGCTGATACTGGTCTCTTGGAGGAAGAACGGGCTGCTTTGTATTGTGTGCCAGCTTCAATAAATTGCTTTTGATTTTTGAATCTTGCTGGTCATTTGTTGTCTCTCACATTAGACAAACGAACCTTGGGCCAGTCGGAGTTAGAGTCCCTGATGCTCACAACAACCACTTTTTGAGGTAGACTGGGCTAAGTCTGGCCCAAAGTCACCTAGTGACCTCCATAGCTTAATGGAGACTAGAACCCAGATCTCCTGAGTCCCAGTCCTGTTTAAAGAGGAGGCTATGCTTCTGCTTTGCCTTACTTTGGCTTTTCTTTTCTTCAACAGTACAGGAATTTAAAGTATTATGGTCACAATCTTGAACATACACCCAAGTAAGTCAGTCCCATTAAACAGAGAACATACTTGCATTTACTACATTTTTATACTGCCCAATAACCAAGGCTCTCTGTGTAGGTAACAAAACTAAAACCCTATAATACAATAAGGCAAATTATAATTTACAAATTCACCTCAGAATCAAACCTGGAGTCAAAAGTTTTTGAAAACAAGAAACTTATGAAGTGTTGCACTGTAAGAATGGTACTGGCTTGGAGAAATAACTGCTTCGATGAAATTGGCCAGAAAAATGAAAGAGTTCCTGGATTTGGTCTGCCACGGCCCATTATTTTCCTGGTGCGCATGTGAAGACTAGTTCAAAAAAAGTTTTAGGAACTGCTTGAAATGACTGAAAACTGCATTGCATAAATGACAATGAATACATTTCCCTTGCACATAATGTGGCTGCTCATAAATAGCTCCACCTTGCAGTCATTTCTGTGTTTGTCTACCATTCATATTGTCATTTGATTAACTAATCACCCATTTTCTAAAGTGTGAATGTTTTTACACTTCAACCAAGACAGTGTTAACTATGAAACTATAGATAGCAATAGAGATTAATTATCTATTTCAGAAGTCTCCACACCTTCTGCATCTGAGATAAAGACGAACTATAATCTGTTCAAAGGTGTGGTTAACAAAAAATAAAATATGAAACCCATACTGCTCTGGACAGTGAACTGAACAAAATATGGTCAAACAACACGTCTTTAAAATGTAAACCATTTAACCTTTATTCCAAGCTTGTGTCTATGAAACAAGTTCTGTCCTAATACCATGTGATGTGGCCTTAAATCCTAAGCATATCATAATGGAATTAAAAGGCTGAGAGTGTTTGAGAAGGTAATTACAGTTTTCTGACATGTGGATAGCCATTTTACAATTAATTTCCAAAATATGATTTTAAAATGTTTTCTTCTTGTTCATGCTTTTACTCTCCTCCAAGACTATCTCACTGCAATATCACTATCAAGACTATTATTAAAGTTTCTTAAGCTGCAGTCCTATAAATGTGACAGAAAAATGTCTTAAAATCCCTAGCATTCCCCAGCCAGCATGGGCCCTTATAAAAACTCTTAATGCACATTTGTTTGTGTTTAGAGAGAAAGAGACCCACAGCTCCTAGCCTGTCCTGGCCAGTCATATTGGTTGGGGCATCCTGGGAGTTGTAGGACTTTTCCCATCTAAATGAGCATTGGATTGTGCCATTAAGAAACTTTCCAATGTGTGGGTTTTACTGGAAGTAGAGGAAGAAAGATTTGAATGGATGTCGGCAGCAAATAACTTTCACACAAATACAGCAAAGACTTTGCTTTTAAGACAAAATAAATGGATTAAAATATGCTGCAGCCTTTAAGATATGCTTGTCATTTATTTCAAATTAATATATTGGCTTTTTATTCAGTTTATTTTTTGATGTTTTGCCAATTTGTTTCCACAAAGTTCTGTCTCAATTTAGGCTTAGGAAGTCTTTTACTACATTTAGTGCATCTGTATGGTTTCTGCTGTTTGATAATAAAAAAATATTTTTCGTGTGTTTACTTATTTGTACTTGTTCCTAGGATAGAAAGGAAATTTTTGTGGTGTACAACTGAATTTTCAAAATGGGCGTAGCTTATAGCTCAGCCAAAATGTCACTACAGTAACCATGCAGCTGCGTAGAGACAAAAGTACTAGTATGAAATAAAGTATGGGGGAAAACGCCCAGAGAAAGTCATATGACTCTTCCATTCCCAAAAGGAGAGAAAAAGACGGAAGCCCCAAAACTATATTTTGCATGAAAAGTGTGATATTACACTTGCAACTGAACAAAATAACTGTGGGATCCCCACTCCAAATCATATTTGTGAAGGAGCATGGAATCCTTTCTTCTGCAGTTCACCTTTTGCCCTCTGATGGAATCTATTGATGTCAAGACGGAAGCTATTCTGGGAGGGGTTTTCATCAGGAAGGTAATGCAGGGAAATGCAGTGAATCCCTCCATTCCATGGTCCAGATTCGATTTCCTTTGACTGTATTTCAACACAAGTGCCAATCATTAACAAATAGTTTGACCAGAGGATACTGTTTTCTAATGATCTTGATGGTGTGACAATCTTTGAGTCAGTGTGAAAGGGATAAATACAGTTTTTCCTGGAACTGCAGTAGCCTTTTGCCTGTGGAAACAGATTCTGCTTCTAGGTCTTGTATGGCATGGCAATATGAAACCCTGTTGCTGTTGTTATATGACTTCAGGACATCCCCAATGGATGGCGCTACTATGAATGAATGCCCTCCAAAATGTCTTGTCTTTGACTGCCCTGCTCAGCTATTGTTCGCACAGGGTTGTGGTTTCCTTTATACAATTGATGCATCTTATATTTGGTCTTCCCCTTCTTCTTCTGTGTTTTCCTTCCCCTAGCATTATCCAGTGAGCCTTGCCTTCTCAGTGTGCCCAGAGTTTTGTCATGTTTTGCTTCCAGGTCTCCTGAAACTTATGAGTGGAATCTGCAGCCATGAGTCTACTTGGGACTACTCAGGCAAGCTGAAAGGGATTTATACTAAATCCTATCTAACTAGGAATAGAAGCCATGGACCAAAACTTTGGATCCTGAGTACTGTTTTCATATTTTTTCTAGCACTGAAAAATAGCCATCTTTCTGGTCTCCTTATAAATGGTAAAGCTCTTTAAGGTACCCGCGCTAAGGGAGAAGGTGTGGCTATGATCCCACCTTAATATGGGAAAGCTTTTGATTCCTTATTCTATTTTTCAAAAGGAGATTTGAAAAAATGCAGTTCAACAGTGATTGCTGGGGAGGAATATTACTCCCATGCCTGTTGGACTTCGATTTTCATAGATATTTTTAAAAATGTATTCCCATCACAAATGTAAATTTCTTATCTGAATTGGGTTGGTGGGGTTCAGGTCATGGTGCAAACTAAAGATTGTAATTATATTCAGTTGCATTGCTTCTGACTTCTGACTTCTACTGGAAGAAGAGAAAAACTACACTTTCATGATTTGACCGCTTGGCAGGCTCTGCCCAGCCTGTTGACCTTTAGGTGAATACCACCATTTTCTCTACATTCATATTATAAAAATCTTCAGTCGCTAAGAAGTGAGTTAAGAGCTGTTTCACACAGCCAGGCTCTCATATTGCCATTATCACATCATCAAAACCAAAAATTGTGTGAATTAGGTCTTACTCTGTGACTCTTTTATCAACCTCAGTGATGGTCCCTCATTGCCATACATAATTTTATAATTTTAAAGTGTGCACACATGCGCGTGCACATGCATACACACAATAAATAAAAGACATGTAGCAAGCCATCCTGCTAATCCTGTTTTATTGCAAAGGACCTGTTCCTTCAGCAAACACCTCACATAGTCCTTTCTTTTCTACG